TTTTTTTTTTTTTTTTTTTTTTTTTTAATAATGACACGTAAGATTTCTTGTTGCGGTATCTTAAGAATGAGTAAAGTATTAAGAAGTAACAGATATTTCAATCACTTTATACATGTTATTTTGAGTAAATAAATTAAATCAGATTTATATGAATTCTCTATCTCTTTCAATCGTTATAATTACACTGTGAAAGTTAATGGTCTAGAGATTGAATAGTGTAAGTATAACTGTTTGTACATTCGAAATCATTTGTCATTTTGGAAGCGAGTATGTGCTATAAAAATTCCTAACCCTTTTTGTACTATAAAATAAAAGGTGCAACATTTATCATTAAAAATTGTTTAATATATTCGGTACATCATAAACGAGTGATCTTTTTTTACTCACCCATTAAATTCCAGCTCAATCTTCCATTTCTTTTTTTGTCCTAATTTGAAGTGCTACGTATTACAAATACTCTTTGAAACATGGATGTTTCAATATTTCGGAGTTTGTAGTTAAATTTCGTTTCTTGTCACATCTGTTACATTTAAAAGTACTTTTAGAATACTTAATAAATAACGTTCAATTTAACATCACAATGCGTGTTTATGAAAATTTGAAAAATACCAGTATTTGCTAATGCCTGATGCAGTTAACCAATAGTAATCGAGATATTCGTCGGTCACGTGATCACCTTTGCAAAATGGCGACGCAGATTTAACTGTTGCAATAACTGCCTCGCGGCATTCGGTTCCGTGCACGTTTGTTACAATGATCAATTTTATTTTGCATATTTTTTTAATTTCCGTGGGTGTTTTAATCACCGACTCAAATATTATATCACAAACAGGCTTTCGGAATAAAAAGGTATATAATGCACACAACCTGAAAATTTTCAACGCTTGTTCATTTTTATCGAGTACTTTCACTTTTTCCTCATGCATTCATCGTTAAAAGTCATCTTTCGCAATACATGTCATTGACCATCGTTAACATACATCAGTTACAGTCATGAAATGATTCCAGTACGATCACACGCCGAGTAGCCTATCAAGAACTCAAATAATCACATTGTCAGATCTGTCAAATGTTAATCATATGAATGAAGTTTTAGATAACATATGTATTGTGAGAATTGTTGGAACACCCGAGCATACAAAAGTAAAAGATGTAAGTTGGAATAATATTAATGATTTGTAAATGTGAGTTACTAATTACAATGTTAGGGAAAGATTAAGTGAATGAGAAAGAGTAAATAAGGAATGTATAAATAATGTATGATGAAATTTTTGTTTAATGATAATAAAAACTAATTTTTTCTTCGTAGTATATCAAGAAGTCAATGAAAGATCTCGGTTGGACCGTTGAATCTGATAACTTTGAAGATCAAACCCCAATTTTTGGAGCTTTACAATTTGAAAATATAATTGCAAAATTAAATCCTAATACAAAAAGGTATTTGGCATTGGCTTGTCATTATGACTCAAAATATACTAGAGAAAGAAACTTTGAAGGTGCTATAGACAGTGCTGTACCATGTGCTCAAATGATTAACTTAGCTAAAGTTATGAAAGATCATTTAAAATCTATAAAATATGTATGTATAGATTGGATGTAAGTACATATAATTTTTATTTGATTTTTTGAAATTATTTCTTTTGTGTTTTCAGAATGATGTTAGTTTAATGTTTATATTCTTTGATGGAGAAGAGGCTTTTAAAGAATGGAGTCCAAAGGATTCTATTTATGGCGCAAGGCATTTAGCAGAAGTTTGGCACAATAATTATACCAATTATGCCAAAGGAGAAACTATTTC